ACCAAGGAGCTCTGGTAGCGTAGTGGTTACGAATCGGGCTGTGAACTGCAAGGTCAGCAGTTCGAAACTACCAGCGGTTCCGTGGAAGAAAGATGAGGCTTTCTGCTCCCGTAAAGATTTACAGCCTCAGAAACCCTGTGCAGGGTTACTATGTGTCGGAACCGACTCCACTGTACTTAACAACAATAACAACAAAAGAGAACCAGTAAGACCAAGCTCTGGTTTTGTAGCAGAAACCATGCAGATAAGAAGGTGAGGGGATGACACATACAGAACTTTGAAAAAAAAAAAAATTGCCAACCAAGAATCATATATTCAGCAAAGCTGTCCCTGAAATACTATAGTGACAGTAGGACATTTCCTGATAAACAGAAATAAAAGGAATTGATAATGATCAGACCAACTTTACAAAAAACACTAAAGATTTTTCTTTGGACTGAGAACCAACAACAGCAGGCAGCAACCTGAGATTACCATACATGACAACATCACCCAGAACTCAATCCAGATATAAAAGTACTTAAATTATAACAAACATACAATACTCATAATAAAGAGCCAGAGATACCAATTTAAAATGACATCAAGTACAAAACATAAAGTGGGAATGGTATAGATACAGAACTTCTAAAAGGAAAGGAAGTCAAGTAGATTTCAATATACAAAAGGCATTTTCAAATAGGGAAAGATATTAATAAATTACAGGGTAACCTCAGAAAATGACTGTATCTGCACATCAAAATAATAAGAGTAAAATTAGAAAACATTAGCAGAACATAAATGAATATGTAAAGAAAACCCAGAAACAAAATGAACTCATTGCAGAAATTTACGTGGAACAAAGAAATCAGCAACAACCTCCGCCCCCTCCTCAAAAAAAACATAGTAAAATTACACAAATCAATTCATGCCTATTGATAATTATACAGAATGTAAATGGATTAAATACACCAGTCAAGAGACAGGGTAGAATTGATAAGAAAACAGGATCCTTCTGTATGCTGTTGATAAAAGACACATCAAAAAGATGGAGACAGTCAAAATGCCTATCAATGGAAGAATGTTTAAACAAACTTTGGTACATACCCACATTGGAATACTATGCAACACTGAAGAATAATGATGAATCTGTGAAACACCTCATGACATGAATGATCCTGGAGGACATTGTGCTAAGTGAAATGAGTGAATCACAAAAGGACAAATATTATATGAGACCAATGTTGTAAAAAGTTAAGGTTTTTCTTAATAAAAGAAACAATCTATGATGGTTATGATTGAGGGCAGGAGGAGGGAAAATTACTCCCAGGCCAAAGGGAAGACACGTGTTAACATTCTCTAGTTGTTGTCTGTTCTTGTTGGTTCTCAGTCCACAGAACGTCCTTTAGGATGTTTTTCATAGCAGGGTTGGCTTTGGCAAAATCCCTTAACTTTTGTTTTTCTTGGAATGTTTTGATTACACCATCATATTTGATTGACAGCTTTGCTGGGTAGAGGATTCTTGGGTGGCAGTTTTTTTCTTTCAGGGTTTTATATATGTCTCCCCATTGCCTTCTTACCTGCATGGTTTCTGCTGAGAGATCTGAGCTTAATCTGATTTGCTTGCCTTTGTAATGTTACAATTCTCTTTTCCCTAGCTGCTTTCAGGATTCTGTCCTTTGATTTTGGAAAGCTTGATTATTATACATCTTGGTGATTGTCTTCCTGGGGTTCATTGAGCTTCTTGAATGTTTATCTTTTCAGGATGTTAGGACATTTTTCTTCCAGAAGCTCTTCAACTATCTGTTCTCTGGACTTGTGTGATTCCTCCTGTTCTGGAATGCTGATAATTCTTAAGTTATTCCTCTTCATGTTGTCTAACATGAACTTTACGCCTTCTTCAGATTTTGTTTAATCCTTTTTTGTGTTTGCTCTTATATCTTAGTAGTGTTGAGAATTTATCTTCTAGCTCACTAGTTCTGGCTTTTAACTCTTCAGTTCTACTCCTTTACCCTTTCAGTGTATTTTGTCCATTACTGATATTCTATTATTAATTGTTTGGACCTTTTTACGTAGGTTTTGAATTGTTTCCAATGCAGTATCTATTTATTTGATTGTTCCTGACTTCTTCCTTATTTTTCTCAATTCCATTGCATAGTGTTTTGATACATTTTATAATAATTTTTCTGAATTCCTTCTCAGGCATTTCCAATGCCTGCCCATCTTCTAGTATGGAGTTTAAGTCTGCTTCCAGCTCATTTGCCTCAGTCATTTTATCTTGTTTCTGGACAATTGCTGATATGGTCATCTGCTTCTGTTTTGGGGGCATATTCAGGAGTTGTCTGTGACCTTAATACTTAGCTGGGTGTGTATTTTGGGTTTTTTTATGCTTTCTGATTGCCTCCAGATAGATGTGATCAGGAGATGGGCTTCCCTTTCCCCTCTTTTTCCTGAGAAATTTCAAGATGCCACTGTTGGTTATTGTAACATAACTCAGGATTTAATTTTTGGCCTGTTTGCTTTTTAGTCTGCCTGTCCTGCTCTACAATCTCCATTCAGGCCTTTTTCCTAGCGATAAACAGTTCAGGGCTGCTGTGGCCATTTGGCTTTAAGTGGAAACTGTCACTTTAAATTTCAAGGATATCTGTGTGCATGCGTAGTACAAACCTCCAGGGGTGGGATGGGGTGTCCACTCGCTCAGGCACCCCCTCTAGTCACCAGAATGGAGGTGCGCAGACAGCGCACACCTTTATCTCCATGGTTCTGTCAGGCGTCCATGGCTGCTCTGATCCTTCCCTGCTTGGTTTCTCTGAAGATGGCGGCTCCTGGAGCAGCTGAGCATCTTGAATTAGAGAGCAATTGATTTCTTGCTTCAGCTACAAATTCCCCTAGCTGTAAGCCTTCCAACCTTCTATATATTCCTTTATATGTGGTTCAGAGTTCTGGCACCATCCCCTGAGCCTGCTTGGTCCGGTATTCTGTGTTGTTGCTGATGGAGCTCTTCACTGCCCTTCCACCTGATCTGCCATCTTGTTTGTTCTCTACAGATTTCTCTTCTGTAGCAAGGCCCCTGAGTCAGTTCCAGCCAGATGAGAGGACATGACATAAGGACCAGTTTGTCCTCCTACTGACCCAAAACAGCTATCCCCAGACTCAAGTCCTTAACACTGTTCCTTCTGAATTGCTATTGGTAGGTGAGGAGTCAGTTCCAACTCATAGCAACCCTGTGCACAACAGAATAAACACTGTCCGGTCCTGTACGATCCTCATAATTGTTACTTTAATCTCATTGTTTTTGCCGTTGTGTCAGTCCAGCACATGGGGGTCCTCCTCTTTTTCGCTGGCCCTCCATTTTACCAAACTTGATATCTTTCATCAAGGACTGGTCCCTCCTGATACCATGGCCAACGCATGAGAGACAAACAAGTCTCACCATCCTGGCTTCCAAGGAGCATTCTGGCTGCACTTTTTCCAAGACAAGTTTGTTTGTTCTTCTGGCAATCTATGGTACTTTTAATATTCTTCTCCAACACCATAATTCAAATGCATTGGGTTTTCTACAGACTTCTTTATTCATTGTCTAACTTTCACATGCATATGAGGTTATTGAAAACACCATAGTTAGGGTCAGGCACACCTCAGTCTTCAAACTGACATCTTGGCTCTTGAGTACTTTAACGAGGTCTTGTGCAGCAGATTTGCCTAATGTAATATGTGTCATTTGATTTCTTGACTGCTGCTTCCATGAGTGTTGATGGTTGATCTGAGCGAAATGAAGTCTTTGACAACTTCAATCTTTTCTCCATTTATCATGATGTCATTTATTGACCCAGTTGTGAAGATTTTGGTTTTCTTTACATTCAAATGCAATCCATACTGTTCTATGATTTGCATTTTGGAGAGTGTTAGTGAGTGTTCCTTCAGTACTGGTGGGTGTGTCCAGTAATGTTTATGATTAACATCCTCAATCCCCTCCCTCCCTGTGTCTTTACTTGCTACAAAAAATACAATTTTACCGTGCTTAAATCTGTATAATTCTATGTGACTCTTAACTAGAGAACAAGTGGGGAACCCCTGGAGTACCTAAAGTTTGCTGTACCTGAAGCTGCCGCCACCTGCAGACTGGAAAAAGGATTTACAAAATAATTTCAACGCTAATATTTTTGAATTTATATTCTTGTGTGGGATTGGTTTGTAGTATCCATGTTTATACTTTCCTTTTCAGGTTTTGGTATTCATTTATCCTTCTCGAGTCCTGGTGTGGTGCTGTGGGATAATTCGTCAGACTGCAAAACCATTTGAAGTGCAAGGTCACCGGTTCAAGCTCACCAGTTGCTCCTCGGAAACCCTACAAGGGGTCGATATGGGTCGGAATCGACTTAATGGCACTTCTCAACAATATCTGTAAACGCAATAGTGCCCCAATCTTTCTTTATGGAAATATTTTAAACTGCTGATGGCCTCATTGACTAGTCCGTTTTGTACTTTTTTCTCTTCAATCTGTTTTATATCCTTTCAGGAATTGCTCCATTTAATTTCTATCCATTCCTTATAAAATTAGCCTGTAGTTAACATCTTTTTGAAATTTAGATTCATTCCAATTTAGATTGGATAATGGTATTCATTGTACAATGCATTGTTACTGAATGTGAAAGCAAATTCACTTTAAACAACAATCACGTGTTGCCGTATACAAGGAAGGTAGAGAAAAAGCGTTTGTTGACAGCCATCTTGTACCTTTGTGCGACATAACGCTACCGACTCGAGTGTGCCCACGACAGCAGCGCATTCCGGAAGCTCTGTCGATCCGTAGAAATCCTTCCTGCATTCAGGAACCGGGGTGCTAAGGCAGCCCGTGTGCGCAGGCGTAGAGAAAGAGTCGGCACCCTCTGCGTCAGGCAATGCGCTGGACGCCCTCGGCTCGGCTGTGGACGATGAAGAGGCCGGAAGTGACGTATGCGAGTTCTTTCCCTTTCCTCCCTTGCTAGGTAGTCACGTTTGAGCCGGCTGGTAGGTTTTAGGGTAGGCTTCTGGTTAACGGCTCCTTTGCGGGCTGTCGCCGGCCGCCGCCCCCGCCCACACTCCGCTGTCTAGAGAAAATGGTGGGTCGGAACAGTGCCATTGCCGCCGGTGTATGCGGGGCGCTTTTCATCGGGTACTGCATTTACTTCGACCGCAAGAGACGGAGCGACCCTAATTTCAAGAACAGACTGCGAGAGCGTGAGTGGGTCCCCTACCCTGTCTGGTGCCCTCCTGACCGTGCGCGCCACCGAGCGGCTCCGAGTACGGCTATGGTGCCGCGAGGCTCGACTCCCTCCATTTTGTTTCTCCCAAACCCTGCGGCCTGCTCCACGCATGTCAGCTGACCTTAGCATATGCTACTTTTTGGTCTCTTTCTTGCCGTGATTTTTTTTTTTTTTTTTTTAAATTTAAAGTCTCTTCTTAACTGGAGAGCTGTGGTATTTTACTTGACAAATTTTTAACCTGAGTCGATTCGCAAATCCGGGGCGGGAACCTCGCAGCATTCTTAAACCCTCTTGGGAGCTTCTGTGTGGGTGCTTCCAGGATCATGAGTGAATGCTACAGAAACTGCAGGGAGTCCAAGGGCTGCGCTTCGCCGGTGGCTTAGCCTTATTTCAGACCTGCAACATCTTTTAAGTGTTTCCTCTTTTCCAGGAGCAAGGGCATGTAGGGAGCATTGATGTTAGGGTGAGTCAGATCTGCGCAATCTTAATGCTCTTAGCTGGAAAATGAGGGGATGCCACCCGCCTCCGGGGGTTTTTGTGAATATGAAGTCCGATGTTTGCAGTACCCTAGCCCAGTTTCTGGGGTGGCGCTGCAGGATAGGGTCAGCTTTGGACTGCGAACCCCAAGGTCAGCAGTTCAAACCCACCAGCTGCTCCTCGGAAACCCTGTGTTGTTGTTAAGGTCTGTGGGATCGGTTCGGACCCATAGCCACTCCGTATAGGGTCTCCAAGGGGCGGTTGATGAGGCTCCCGATGAGTCAGAACAGCAACAGACTCAGTTCTTGGTGTGAGTCAGCACTGGACTGCGAACGAACCTCAAGGTCAGCAGTTCAAACCCACTAGCTCCGCCTCGGAAACCCTACCCAGGGTTGCCACGATTCGGAACCTACTCGGCGGCACTACTGAACTGCGAACCACGAGGTCAGCAGTTCAAACCCACCAGCCGCTCCTCGAAAACCATAGGGTGTTGTTAACTGCTGTCAAGTCGGTTCCGACCCAGAGCCACCCTATATACGGTTTCCGCTATGAGTCAGAACGGCAACACCCCGATTCCTGGTCTGTGCCTACGTGCCCCGTGCACACCTCAGGTGCAGCGAGTCTCCACAGTCTTTACATCTTTGCAAATGCTGAATGTTGAAAACCTCGAGAAAACTTTTATCTTTTTTGGCTGAAGAAGTCATAAGAGCTATCCTGTTATTTTAGACAGATTGAGAAATCTTCACTGGATAATTTTTTTTTTTTTAGCTATTGTTGTTAAGTACCATGGAGTAGGTTCTGACTCATACTGATCCTGTACAGGGTTTCCGAGGCTGTAAATCTTTACGGGAGCAGAAAGCCTCATCTTTCTCCCATGGAACGGCTGGTAGTTTTGAACTGTCGACCTTGAGGTTAGCAGCCCTATTTGTAACCACCAACATTGTTGTTTGTTTTTAAGTGCCCTCGAGTTGGTTCCGACCCATAGCGACCCTGTATAGGGTTTCTGAGGAGCAGCTGGTGAACTTGAACTGCCGGCTTTGCAGTTCAAGCGGCTTTGCAGTCTGGTGCATTAACCCACAGTGCCGCACTAGGATTCCTCATACCATTATGATGGTGGTGGTGGTTATGTGCCGCGGAGTCAGTTCCGATTCAAAGTTAGCCTGTGTAGGGTTTCCAAGGCTGTAAGTCTTTACGGGAGCAGAAAGCCTCATCTTTCTCCCGCGTTCCGTAGTTTCGAACTGCTGACCCTGACGTTGAGGTTCACAGCCCAATTCGTAACCACTATGCTACCAGATCTCCTTTTGTACCGCTATAGAAGTAGCCTAATTCAAGTGCTTAGGGTTGACATACTAGCTTAGTGGGCAAATGACGCTTCAAGCTTTAGCATCCTCCTTTTGTAAAGTGGTCTAATGTAGACATTATTAGTGAAGTCTCTGGCACATGCTAATTGATGAATGATAGACCTGGTTTATGAATATACTTTTTATATGTAATTTAACAAATGCTTGCATTTAGAATAAATTGGCCATGTTTTAAAGGCCATTGTGTGACTTCCTGATGTTAACTTGAGTACTTTGCATTTGTAGAACGTAATATAGATTTAGTTAACTTTTGAATTTTTCTAGTCAGATTTCCAATAGAATACTTACATAAAGGCTTGTTGTTAAGTACCTACCAGTGGGTTCCAACTCATAGCGTCCCTCTATAGGGTTTCTGAGGAGTGGCTGATGAGTTTGAACTACCAACCTTGCATTGCTTGTTGTACAGGGTCACACCAGGACTCCTTAACATTAAAGCAGAGTTTCTCAAATCATTCAGTTCGTCAGCTTTCCTGATTACTTATTATTATTATTTTTTTAATGAAAATCCTGAAGTAAGGTTTAGGATTGGATCTTGTGTTTTAACTTATTTGTACATTTTGCAATTCACTAGCAAGAGCAGAGAATCTCATTAAATACCCCAAAAAACACAATCTGCGTGGATCAAGCCAATTCTGATTCAGAGACCCTATGGTCCTTTCCATAGCTATAGCGTGGCTATTCTCCAGATCATTGGCCATTTTCAATGACTAGTGAAACTATTTATTCTTTTTTTAATTGTTTGGGTGAAAGTTTACAAGCCGATGTTCGTTTTCTATTCAAGCTTGCACCATTTTGTTTTGTGACATTGGTTGCAATTCCCTCAGTGTTAACAGCTTTCTTTCCCCTTCCTTCCTGGGTTCCCAAACATGGTTTAACTGCTTAGTTGAGGGAACTGTCATGATATGGCATATGTATGTACCAGGCACTCTTTACAATGCATTATGGTTATTACCTTGTGGCAGCAATACTATGAAGTATAGGTACTATTTTAAATTACTTAACTTTTCTTTTTGTAAAGTGTATGTAACAATGCACCATTTTGATAGTTTTTAAATGAACAGTTCATTGGCCTTAATTACATTCACAAGATTGTGTAAAGATCACCCATTTCCCAAAATTTATCACCCCAAACAAATTCTAGTACCATTTTAAGTCCAGTTTTACGTCTCACCCTTGTGGCTCAGTTCTCAACCCATTTTTAACAACAGCACTAGTGAGGTATGCTCATAAGGAAACGTTTACCTGAGGAGGACAAGCTTTGAGAAGGGATGGAGGGAGGGAAAGGAAATAAGAGCCACTGGGAGGAAGTTGGATAACTATTACCTGGAGGGGATTGCAATACTGAGATAAAACGAAGTGTGTGATTTGTTGGATGTAAAACTGAAGAGCTGCTCTGTAAAAAACCTTCACTCAGTTCACAATAAAAAGTCTCAAAAAGAGAGACCAGTTTAACCTGTTAAGAAAGCAGCTCACAGGTTACTGTAACTCATGTAAAGTCCCAGTGCTGGAAATGGAAGAACTGGGATGCAAACCTGTAGCAGCCAAAGCTTGGGTTCACACTGTCACCACCCTTCCCTGAACTCTTCATTGGTAGCAGCAGTTCAAATGCTGTTCGTTTCCTGTTACCAGGGGTTTGATTCAAGGGTTGACTAGTTGATAAGCACTAGCATTCCTGAGATTTATAGCATTGCTTGATACAGAAGTAAAAATCAAAACTTAGATTCTAGACAGGTGTTTCCCCCTCCCACTAGCCAATATTAGTTGAATTAAAACTTCAGAAGTATATTTGTGAGTAATCAACACACACACTTCCCAAAGGTATAAACAGTGTATGTTTAGAAAACTTTCTCAAATGCTGATTTTCCACCATCGAACATCAGATTCTTGTCAGCATTTAGTAGTGATAGAATCTGTTGTCTCTGGAATACAATTCTCTCATAGCAGTAGCTTAATGCTGCCTTATGTCCCATGGAGGCTGGTAGGGTGCTTGATCGATTTAATTCCTCAGAGATCAGAAAAGGAGAAGAGCTCTGGCCCAGAGATGTCACTTAGCCACAGCTTGTTGACCAGAATGGTGGGGGTGGTGTACTGTGGAGTCAGTTCTAGCTCACAGTGACCCTGTATAGGGTTTCTGAGGCTGTAAATCTTTACGGAAGCAGAAAGCCTCATCTTTCTCCCACGGTTTTGAACTGCTGACGGTGAGATTAGCAGCCCGACTTGTAAACACTACGTTACCAGAGCTCCTTGTTGACCAGAATGGGTCCTGACAAATCACAAGGTCTGAGAGGCAGAGGGTCCAAGAGTTTGGCATATTTTGCAAATAAAAGGAATGACTCCCATAGCAGCTGGATTATTAAAGCTTTCCATTTTGATTAGTGGTAAAATTAAAATACTACAATATATTTCTTTCAGGAAGAAAGAAACAGAAGCTTGCCAAGGAGAGAGCTGGACTTTCCAAGGTAATCCTCTGGTTTTGGAAAGCTGTTATTCCGTGCCGTTAAAACAGTTCCATCTCATGGGGAGCCTATATAGAGTTTCCGAGGCTGTGCATCCTTGTAGGAGCAGAAAGCCTCATCTTTCTCCAATCCAGTTGCTGGTGGGCTCAAACAGCCAACATGGTGGCATAGAAGTTCAGTACTTCTCCCACTGTCTGCGTACTCCCTTGGTTTTCTTTACGCTACATTAAACACTTTATAAAAAGTTATTTAAAAATATGCTTCAAATACATGTTTTCAAATGTTAGTGGATACGACATGCTAATATGCTATTTTAAATAGAATATATTTTAAAATAGCTGAATTCATTTACTGCTTTTCTCCGCCTTGGTTACTTACATTTTGTTGCCACAGCATACAGCTTATTGTATAGTATACAATCAGTTTTTAGGATAGTAATCTCTAAAAGTCCCACAGTGGCTTCAAAGTAATAAAATGTAGTATTTATTGACTTCATTGTTCCTTCATCAGCTTGCTTTGAAAGTGCCACAATGCTGTTCAAGTTATACAACGTCCTGCTGCCCTGACAAATTTTTACCTTTTTGTCATTCACTTTTTTTCTTTTTATAAATCCTAAGCCATGGTATTTTCAGTAATCTCATATGCATGTGAAAGCTGGACAGTGAATAAGGAAGACCATAGAAAGATTGATGCTTTTGAGTTACGGTGTTGGAGGAGAATATTGAAAGTGTTGTGAGCTGCCAAAAGAACCAATAGATCTGTTTTGGAAGAAGTACAGCCAGAATGCTCCTTAGAGGCCAAGATGGCCAAACTTTGTTTCTCATACTTCGGACATATTGTCAGGAGGGACCCCACCAGTCCTTGGAGAAGAATATCATGTTTGGTAAGGTGGAGGGTTAGAGAAAAAGAGGAAGACCCCCAATGAGATAGATTGGCCAAATGGCAGCATCGTTTGGCTCAAGCGTGGCAACAGTAGTGAGCTTGGCCCAGGATCGGGCAGTGTTTCGTTCTGCTGTGCATAAGGTCACTATGGGTCGGTACCTACCCGAAGGCACTTAACAACAACAACATGTTCATAATTTTTTTTAATGACCTGACTGATAGGTTTAGCTGCTTCACAAAAAATGTTGTGACATGCATAAGTAAATTAGTAAGTAAATATTTATCACTGTACATACAGATTTTCCCTCTTTTATGAAATTAGTGTGCTTGTCTGGATTGTCAGTAATTGGAGTAGTGGGTCAGCAGTGGGGCTTGTGTTTCTGTTTTTAAATTGAGATTGTGGTGATAGTCTGAATAGGTGATAACGCTTGCTTGATTCAAAATGTTGTTGTTGTTGTTAAGTGCCGTTGAGTCGGTTCCGACCCATAGCGACCCTGTACAGGGTTTCCGAGGGTGTAAATCCTTACGGGAGTAGAAAGCCTCATCTTTCTCCCGCAGAGCAGCTGGTAGTTTCGAACTGCTGACCTTAAGGTTCGCAGCACGATTCGTAACCACTACGCTACCAGAGATTCAAAATAGAAAGGTGGAAAAGATTGAAGTACACAGTTCTTTCTGCCACCACTGTTACCAGGTCAGTCATCCCCCCTCCGAAACACCCGGTATATATGTTGCTCCAGAGAGACGCTATTTGTATTCACACAGATAGATGTATGAGGCGCTTTCTGGGGCAGTTTTTGCACAAATAGTGGCACGTTTCTATATGTATAGTGATTCTTTTTGAAGGAAGCTGGGCAAGAAAATACTTAATATTATGTTTTATAAGTTACTTTGAAGCACTTGAGTAATCAACACCAGGAAGAAAGAAACACAAGCTTGCCAAGGAGACATGGTATGGTAACAAGGAAGTGGAAACGGGGAACGAACCTGGTTCTAACATGGCTAAACTACCTTTGGAAATGTGTAATATGTTCATTATGTTTTCAGTGTTGTTAATTGCCTTCGAGTCAGTTTGCACTCATAGAGACCTTTGAATCATTCAATCGCTGACCTTGTGGTTCCCAGTCCAGTACTTATACTATATATAAGTACTGGATCACACCAGGAGTCTAAGACACAGGAAAGTTGATTAATTAACAGAAATATGAGTCAGTATGCTTTTAGAGTCAAGAATACAATAAACTTCTTGCTGTATTAGTGAAAGATGCATCCACTTTCTGAAATTTTACTGTTTTCATCAGTATTAGATAATAAGATCTTACATACTGTAATTAAATAAACACAAGCTTAACATTAATAGAAGACTACTTTTTTTTTTTTTGTAGAAGACTACATTTTTTAAATAAAAATAGCTTATTGGGATAAATTTTAGAAGGGCAAGCCATATGGTTAATGGCATTATATAGCATCCTGGTCACTGAGTCTGATAATATGTAACCACAAAACCCCACAAATGTAAACATTTAAATAAAACTTCTTACAGATGTTTGTGAGTCCAGCTACTCTTTGGAAACCCTATACAGGATCACTGAGTCAGTACCGACTCCAAGGCACTTAACAAGCACCATAGATGTTTGTCCCCAGCAAGATGGATTGGCATCAGTGGGCTCAAGTGTGGCAGCAGTTGTGAGGTTGGCCCAGGACCGGGCAGTGTTTCATTCTGTTGTGCTTAGGGTTGCTATGAGTCGGTACCGACTGGATGGCACCTAACAACAACATAGATGTTTGTCATAGCAGAAAAAGTAATAGTTCAAATGGCCAGCCAATAGGAAATGATTGTTGTTAGTTGGTTCTGACTCAGCAGCCCTGTATAGGATTTCTAAGGAGTGGTTGGTGAGTTTGAACTGCTACCTCACGGTTCAAACCGACCTTGTGATCAGTGCTTTGTTCCGTGGTTCTACACCAGGATCTTTGGTAATCACATATACTGCAATAGTATATTTTATTGCCATTTGAAGATAATTTTCCAGATGCTTATAAAATCTATACAAAATAATGTTGGATCAGAAGAACTAGATTGTTTATAGTAAAAGCTGTAAAAAATAATTAAAAAATAGCAAAAGTATGTTTTAAGTGGGATATTTTGTATCATTCATGTTCCACATTAGGTTTGATTCAGATCTTTTTGGTGGTGGTTATGTGCCATGGAGTTGATTTTGACTAACCTTGCACAGGGTTTGCAAGGCTGTAAATCTTTCCAGGAGCAGAAAGCCTCATCTTTCTCCTGCAGAACTGCTGGTAGTTTGAAACTGCTGACTTTGAGATTAGCAATCTGATTCGGAACCACTCTGCTGCCAGGGCTCCTGAGATTGTTATGAGAACTGTTTGATAAGCCAATTTGATAAGTTTTGTCCTCATCCCCCTCACAGTCATTTGAATGTGGATGCTAAATTTTAATCTTTACAAATGTGGTTGGGGGTAAAATTGAGATTTTTTGGCACACATTCTATACATTGGTTCTATTTCCTGGTATAATTGTGGTATCAGTTTCTAAACATTGTAGTTCCAATTACTAAATACTCTTATTTCCAAACAGTTACCTGATCTGAAAGATGCTGAAGCTGTCCAGAAATTCTTCCTTGAAGAAATACAGCTTGGTGAAGAGTTACTAGCACAAGGTAATAGTCGTTTAAAGGTGAAAGAACTAGATGAAATTCTTCATGGTAACTAATTTATGATAAGGGACTTTGCTTTTGTAGCTTGGCTTTTTTTTTTTTTTTTTTTAAGAAGTGACTCAAAATATTTCATGACATGTTTTTAGGCAGTTTTGTTGTTAAGTGCCGTCGACTCAGTTCTGACTCATAGAAACCTTGTATAATAGTTCCAAGGAGCAGCTGGTGAGTTTGAACTGCTGACCTTAGGGTTCAGCACTTTAGCCCACAGTGCCACACCAGTAATCCAGACACTCAATGGTATGGATATTATTTTATGTAAAATTTATTCTAGAAGTAATTATTCCTAGATTACCATTTACCATAGTGTATTTTGAGTTTTAAATGTACTTGATGTAGCATTTGATATAAACAAGCAAACAAAACAAACCCCAGTTCTGTGGATTCTATTCTGACTCAGTAGTGACCCTGTATAGGGTTTCCCAGACTAAATCTTTACGGAGCAGACAGCCTCATGTTTTGCCTGCAGAGTGCCTGGTGGGTTTGAACCACGAGCTCTGTAGTTAGTAGTCTAACACTACTGAGGCTTGTTGTTTGTTGGAGGATAATGATTAATCATGAAAATTGAGGTTTCTCTCTAGAAGGTAAAGCCGGTGTTGAGTGAGAATGACCCTGTGTGACCGAGTAGAGCTGCTCCACAGGTTAGCCTTGGTTGTCACCTCTGGACGCAGACCACCAGGTCTTTGCTCCTGGGGAGCTGCTAGCTCCACGTAAACCGCTCCTGCTTTTTACTTAGCATCTGAGCTCTTGACCATGTGCACCGCAAGAGCTCAGTTATTGTTAAGTGCCTTCAAGTTGGTTCTGACCCATAGTGTACAGAGTTTCCAGGGAGCGACCTTGCTGTTCAAACTTGCGGTCGAGTGCTTACCCTGCAGCATCATACCAGGCCTTCATTTTAATTTGTCAGTAGTAACAGGGAGTATGAGCTAGAAATTGCCTTCCTCAACCGTTTGATCATGTTTTAACATTTGTCAAACTTTGGTATTTTGCATCGAGGGATGTGAAAAACCAATGCCCTTTAAATAGTAGTCCCAGAAAAGGTTCATTTCACCTAGTCAGTGTCATGTGGTGGGTTCCTGACAGCCGATTTTAGAACCAACCGGTCAGCTGATTCAGAGTTAGGCTCTTCATTGGTTTGTGCTTCATTTATTCCATTACCAGTATTAAGACTTTTAAAAATTACTGTTACCAGATTAATTGATAAATCTGAAAATAATACATTCAGTAATTTAGAGCCTTAATAAGTATACTTACGAATCTTTTTAGTATAAATTGTATTTTATCTTAAACATCTATTTAAAGTAGTTACTCTTAATATTAATGTTTTCCAATATTAAGTTGTTTTTCTTCCCTGTTCTCAATTCCTAGGACTCAGACAGGGTTGAGCTAGTAATGTGATTTGGGGCATTTGTCTGCTTCTTTGTTTGGCTCTTTCGTGGGAAGAGCTTAAGAGGTCTTAGGTGTTGATGCCCAGCTTTACTTTTTTACTATTGTTAAGAATATTGCTGGTAAAACAGTCACCATTCGACTGTTTCTCCACGTACAACAACGTGGCATTCTTGTTGTGCCGCCGTTCTCCCTCCCCTTTTTATAACGGAGTTAGAGCTCTGTTAGCTTAAACTCACTGTCCCACTAAGTTTCTATAATCTTTCAGGTTGCTGCTGTCAATTTAATCCTGTGTAAATAGTTTATAAAAGAGAGCATACTTCTCAAGGCAGACATTCTTTATTAGTTAAGCAAGCATGTTTTTAGTTTTAAGACTTAGGGGATATTTTTGGTTTATGATTCAAACATTATTTCAGGGCATTATTTCCTGGGGACTGTTTTATTTTTTTGTCTTCCCCTTTTCAAAGAAACAATTTATTGACATAATTCAATTTGTTGAATTAATTTCACCTAAATTATCCTGTGTGGTGCTGTGGGTTAATGTGCTAGACTGCAAAGTTGTTTGAACTGCAAGGTCGGCAGTTCAAGCTCACGAGCTGCTCCTTGGAAAACCCTATACAGGGTCACTATGGGTCAGAACCGACTAGACAGCACTTAACAACAATAAATTGTTGCAAATGGCCCAGTTCCTCCCTGTCCTCAAGTTGCTACCAGACAAAGATTAGTAATAAGTAGGTAGAGTATGAAGAGATTCTAAGCCGTAAACTGCCTGCGTAGGACTCAGATGACAACAGGTAGTTTTTTGTAGTATCTGTGATTTGTTTGTGTTGTCAGGTGCCATCAGTTGGTGTTCTGACTCATAGTTACCTTATGCACAACTGAATGAAACACTGCCCAGTCCTGTGCCAACCTCAGACCGTTAGCTTGAGCCCTTTGCTGCTGCCAGTATGCCAGTCCATCCCGTTAGGAGTCTTTCTCTTTTTCGCTGACCATCACTCCACTTTACATAGCATGAGGTCCTTCTCCAGAGACTGGTCCCTCCTGATACCATGTCCAGAATATGACAGATGAAGTTTTGCTATCCTGGCTTCTAAGGAGCATTTTAGGCTGTACTTCTAATACAGATTAGTTTGTTTTTCTAACAGTCCGTGGTACTGTTAATATTCTTCTTGAACACCGTAACTCAAATGCTTCAATTCTTCTATTCATTGACCAACTTTCATATGCGTATGAAGCTATTGAAAATGCTATGGCTTGGGTCAGACACACCTTAGTCCTCAACATCTTTGCTCTTGAATGTTTTAAAGAGGTCTTGTGCGGCAAATCTGCCTAATACAGTACGTCCTTTGATTTTTTTTGACTGCTGCTTCCTTGAACGTTGATAGTGTATCTGAGTAAAATGACGTTTTCGACAACTTCAATCCTTTCTCCTTTCATCATGATGTTATTTATTGATCCAGTGGTTAGCATTTTTGTCTTTACAAGGTGCAGCCCATAAGGAATGCTGTGGTGACTGATCTTCATCAGTAATTATTTTAAATCCACTTCACTTTCAGAAAGCAAGGTTGTTTCAGTTGCGTATTGCAAGTCGTTAATGAGTTTTCCTCCAATTCTGATGATACATTCCTCTTCATATAATTCAGCTTCTCAGATTATGTGCTCAGCATACAGATTGAAATAAGTAAGATGAAAGACTACAGCTTTGGCACACACCTTTCCTGATTATAAACCATATAGTGTCCTCTTGTTCTTTTCAAACGACTACCTCTTGGTCTGTGTACAGGTTCCTCATGAGCACAGTTAAATATTCTGAAATACTCAGTCTCTGCAATGTTTTCCATAGCTTGTCATGATCCACACAGTTGAAAGACTCTGTGTAGTCAGTAAAGCACAGTCAAACATCTTGTACTTTATTGATTGCGCAGAGGCTCATGAGGAATCTGTACATAGAACAAGGGAACATTGAATGGTTTAAAATCAGGAAAGGTGTGTGCCAGGGTTGTACTCTTTATACTTACTCAGTCTGTATGCTGAGCAAATAATCCAAGAAGCTGGGTTCTATGAAGTAAAATGTGGCATCTAGATTGGAGGAAGACTCATTAACAACCTGCGATATGCAGATGGTAACAACCTTGCTACCTGAAAGTGAAGAGGACTTAAAATACTTAACTGGTAAAAGATCAAAGACCACAACCTTCGGTATGGTTTGATTACCCATCATTTCTTTTTGGTGTGGTGATTGTATTCCTTTTATTTGATTTTAAATCTTTAATTGTGAATTGTGATAGTTTACTTGACAGAACATTGGTGTTGCACTCAACCAATCATATTTTGTTTGACTGAAATGATTACAATCCCTCAGTGCACCAGCAGTTAGCAGTGTTTGCCTCTGTTCCCTCAGGAATATGTAAGCTTTCTGTATCATTTGATATTTTGTCCATGGAGTCCTTCAGTATTACAAGTCAAGGCTTGAATTGTTTCCTTAGTTATTTCAGCTGGAGAAATACTGAGCGTGTTCTTCCTAACTCTAGGTCTTTGCATTAAAAATACTTGACTTTTGAAATTCTCTGTTCAACTCTTTTACTTCCTCATTTCTTCCACTTGCTTTAGCATCTCTATGCTAGAGAGCAAGTTCCAGAGTCTTTTTGGATGTCCATTTTGGTCTTTTCCTTTCTCGCCGCCTTTTTATTTTCCTACCTTGTCTTAATGACTTTTGCTTTTCTTTCTGTATGATGTTCTTGATGCCATCCCACAGCTCTTCCGGTCTTTGGTTGTTAATTTATAATGTATTATATGTGTTCTAGAGATGATTTCCAAATTCAGGTGGGATGTGTTCAAGGTCATTTTGGCTCTATTGGACTTGTTTTATTTTTCTTCAGCTTTAGTCTCAACTTCCCATCTGAGTAATTGATGGGAGTGTTCCACAGTCTGCTTCTGACCTTGTTTTTTTTTTAACATTTTTATTGTGAATTATGTGGGTTTACATGGGAGAACATCAGTTTTACATTTACCTTATCGTATTTCACTTCATTGCAATGATTACAATCCCTTCCATGCATCATCAAACAACCGAAGGCTACATCCCACAGGCCTACCCCCTGGCCATCAGCACACAGCCCCTCTCCCTCTCTGAGTCCAGTGTCCCCAGCTGCTCCATCTGTGCAAGTCATTGTCTCTGCCTCCATTTCTGGTGTCATTGCTCCTCTGGGTAGGGTCCCACACTCCCCTCTTCTCACTTGATGGTCTGAGGGACCTCTGCTCCTGGACTGCAAAGTCAAGTCACTCCCCTCCTTTTGTTACAAAACGTCTACCTTTACATTTCCAACCCTCACAATCAGTCCTGATAGCAGTTATTCACTATTGTACCACACAAGTCTTTCCCCCATCTCCTTTCATTAGTCCTGTCCCAAGGTTGGAAATCAGTCAGTGGAGATTCTACCTTCCCCTTCCCCACCTGAAACTAGGCTCCTTCTTGAAAGCTTGTAAGCCAGTCATTTCTTACCTTTGTAGCCCCCTCCCATTTTGGGTAGCCAATGTTTTAAGTTGCCCAGGAGTGATCCTCCCTGTAAAGATTTGTTCCCTTTTTGAGCTACTACATCTATAAGTATAGGTAAAGTTCATCAGATAGTAGCGGGTTACTCTTTTTTCCCCTCTTCTTTCTTCTTCTAGTTGAGTTCTGATCATCCAGCCATTGAAGCCCAGTCAGGTGGGTACTATCTGCAAGTATGGGTGTTCTTGTGCATATGCCCTCTCTTTGTATCAGCTGGGCACTTCGCTCTCCACTGTAGTCTTCTGTGGGCATGTGACTGCCTCTGGGCCCAGGAGTCCGCGGGTCTTGACATACTGCTGACCATCCAGGTCTCCACCTGGGTTCACAGGAGTCTGTTGAATGTGGTCGGACTTAGCTCCCAAGTTCATTGCTGTTTTTCCCCCACTCCCTCTTATTGGTGACCAACATGGTCATCAGCCAGACCATATGCCTGCTCTCATGTATTCCCCTTGAGCCTTAGTCTTGGAAGGGGGTTTCTGGCCTTGTTTTGGCTGATGATACGGAGCTTTTCTACCATATCTTTTCACAGGTGTAGTCATCAGTTTGATTTCCGTATTTCATCTGGTTAGTTCAGATGTACAGTCTCTTAGGTTGTTTGCAATAAAGAAGTCATTGATCTGGCAAAATCCTATCATGCGATTTCTAGATGAAGCCATATTTTCCCCACAGTTGATCCTTCCTCATTGCTTCCAATCTTTGCGTTCAAAGTCCTGGTGTGGCGCTATAGGATAAAGCCCTGGACCTCAAGGTTGGAATGAAGCACAAGGTTTGTGGTTCATACTCACCAGCTGCTCTTTGGACACCATATATAAGGGTCACTGTGAGTTGGAACCAACTCTATGACATTTAGCTACAAGAAGATCCTTCCTCTTTGTTTTCAACGTTTGCATCTCAATCATATCAGTAATTATCAGCACATTTTGATTGCATGTTTGATCTGTTTCGTACAGAACAAGTTGCTTCTTTTAGTTAAGTGCTGTCGATTCAGTTTCTACTCATCGTGACCCTGTATGTGGTTTCTGAAGAGTGGCTGGTAAGGTTTGAACTGCCGACCTTGTGGTTCAAACTGATCTTGTGGTCCAGTGCGTTATCCTGCAACACCATACCGGAACTCTGAAGAAGTTGGTTGAATTTTTCACTTTTAAAATCATTGGCTTTAGTGGTTGGTATGTAAATTTGAATAACAGTGGTATTAACTGATCTTTCTTGTAGGCACCTATCACAGAGAGCATTATACTTCCAGATACATCTTCACATGTTCTTATTGATGATAAATGTGATGCGGTTCTTAATTTTGTCATTTCTGGCATAGTAAACCATGTGGTTGTCAGGTTCAGAATGGCCAATACCAGTCTATTTCAGCTCACTAAGCCCTAGGATATCGATGTTGATGCGTTCAGGTATTAATGACTAGATCCAGCAGGTTCTCATTTTGAGTTGTGCCCCATCAGCAAATGAAAGTCCGAGAGCTTGCCTCCATTCTTGTCATCACAGTCAAACTCTACTTTGAGGTTGCACCTTTTCCCCAGTCATATTTTGAGTGAGGGGTTCATCTTTCAGCATTGTAGCTGACAGTATTTCTCTGCTAGTCTGTGGTGCTCCTGGTTTGGCACTGTAGGATAAACACAGGACTGCAAGGTCGTTTTGAACTGAAAGGTCAGCAGTTCAAATCCACCAGCTACTCAGAAATCCTATACAGGGTTGCTGTAAGTCAGAACCGACATGATGGCACATAACAACAGCCACAAACATTCAGAAATAATCTGCCTCTCCTATTTCAGCTGAAACTTTTGTTCACCATATGTGACCCTGCTGGTATTTAAAATATAGGTGGCGTCTCTTCCAGCATCATCGGTATATGCAAACCCCACAGTAGCACAAACGGGCAGGCTGGTGGTGTTTTCGAGTAGGTCTTCCATTATCATTGTTTGTTGACACAGTTTAGAATAAATCTGAATTATTTTAACACATTAAGAAGGAAACACAGTAATATAAGCAGATTTCTGGGCTTAGGGAGCCCTGGCCTTAGTAATGTGAAATAAATTTTTTAATTATTCTAAGCCTCACTTCTTCAGATGTAAAATGAAGATAATACTGGTATCTCACTAAAGATTATTGTGAAAATCATGTTACACAGTTTATATAAACGACAAGAACAGTGTCCTGCCTCCTGATAAGTATTGATTAGATGT